ATGTGTGTGATAGTCCAAATACAAAAGTCTACAGTTTCTTACGAATTGGGAACTCAAATTACCGATATTGGCAAGCTAGAAGATAAAATAAGAACCTCCTATCTTTTGCATTTGCTTTTTTATACCTATCAACCCACTGCTCCTTCTAAGCGTGTACCTTGTTCCTAAAATCCATTTCATTTCCTGGTAAGAACTATAGTTAATTAGGTATACCATATGAAATAATTACAGTTTAACCTCAACCATAGCTATATTATTAGCTTTTCAGCCTTTATTTGTAAATCTCCAGAAAGTAATTTAAATTCATGACATTAAAATCAAGCAATCACCGCGCCATCTGCCGTACACAAATAACACTATACTGTGTTTTCTTATTATAGGCATTAATAAAATACACATATCAAGGGTCATACAAGATTCCAACAAATTAGTTTACCTTGTTTAATTCAAGACTCAGTTAAGTAAGCAGTTAAGAAGTTTAACATTTTATTCACTTTTATTTGTTTTTTTTCAACTTAAGTTCCTCCCAGATTTCATTTGAAATATTATTAATCGGAAAAATTCTGAATAGTACCCAAAAACAGTTGAAAACACAGAACCAGTATATGAGTAAATAATACTGAAGAAAAAACTGGAAAATTCGATCTTATTCGTACAAAACTTACTTTTTCTTATGATCATTGATATCACATTATATACGTGATATTACTAAATTTTGTAGAAAAATATGTGGTTCATATTTTGTTGTTTCACTATTCCAATGGTATATTTAAATATTTCAATTAACAATGGAAGTCATCGTTATTGTTGGCTTCGTGAATTATCGAAACGATATTTTTTTCAAAATTAGATCAAAGTACAGAAATGATACAAGACTACTTTCAACGTATCACGAGTTGACAGTATAAGACTAATAAAACGAACCTTTCTTGGATAAAATCATAAATAATATTCAACGTTAAACTGGTACACAATTAAAAACATTTTATTTAGGCCTATCTGTGGCCTTCAAAAAATTGACGACTCTACATGTTTCGACGTTACAACGTCATCCTCAACGTCGAAACATGTAGAGTCGTCAGCTTTTTGAAGTCCATTTTTTATTTTTTTTGGAATGGAAGAAATATTGACACGAGAGTTTCACAACCTAAATATGGAAACACAAACATTGCCATTTTTCTTCATATGAGAGATTCTGGTCATCAAGAGTTTTCCATAAAACGAATAACTACATCATATATATATATTATTATTAGCGAAAGTTGCTTAATTAAAAGCCAGCCTAATTTCAACACCTTCCAAGGTCACTTTAAGATAAACAGCTTTCGGACCACCTGAGAATTCAAAGTTCCAGGGTAACGTAAGCATTGTTGACCACTTAAGTTCCAGTTTTCATGCCAGAAGACAGCGTGAGACTGAAAAAGACGCACGAATGTGTCGATTTATCTACTTTCAAGTCTTCTGATAGTTTGTTCCTTTTACTGTGATCTTTCACTAACTTTCCAAACTGATTACACTTTTAACGTTTCTTTAATGCCTCCGTAATTTACACAAGAACAGGCATAATGAAAACAAATAAATTATTTCAAAAAACACCACCTTTAGGATTATATTTCAATACTTGCCTCAATATGATTCTCTTACTTTGTTTTTATCTGTTTTTATTTAAGTTTTCTTATTACATCAGTATCTTAATGTATAGTTTGGAAGAATTAAATTCTCTACATCAAATTTTTCTAGTCATATTTCGTGCTTGGATTTTTCACATTTGTCTCCAGTGGCTCAGCGATACGCTGAAGAGCTAACAACTCTAAAATGTTGGGCTCGATCCCTACGGTGAGCACAGCGAAGACAACCTATTGTGCATCTTTTTCCTCTTATAACAAAAACAACAGCTTAAAATAAGCCTTTATTATTAATAGTGAAACACGTTTTATTTTGTGTGTGGGTTTCTCATTCCCGAATGTAGATTAGTGATTATCGTGTAGGACTGTGGATATAATGTTTCGTGTTTCGCACCCTGTTACTCCCTCCCCACCCCCCTCCAAAAAAAGAAAAGAAAAACGCACTCTGTACTTTGGGACCGTGGATGCGTTATAAGAGTGACGGTAAAATCCATTATTCAGTTAGAGTATCCCTCGAGTTAGCGGTGGGCGGTATTGACTAGTTTCAAAATTAGAGAAAGTTAGCACAAATTGCTCTCGAGCAGCTTCGCACCAAAATCAACAAACAAACACAATAAAATTTTCCCGATGTTTTTGAAATTTTCTTTTTTTGGCATACATTTTTTTTTTTACATTATAGTTTCGGTTCTGCAGAAACCTAAAAAGTTCGAATTCTCAGCTAGAAAACCAGTAGTCTAAGTGGATTATGGTTACAAAACTGTGCATGTTCAATAAGTTTGTCCATGTAAGGTCCAGACAATCCGAGCCGAGTTATAATTTAAATTATATAAATTTTTTAATATTGGGCTCTTCAAGTGAGAACTTATGAAACTAACTATAATAGAACTGTAACAGTTTAGTTTTATTTAACTCAACAACAGTCAAGATATATCACTTATAATTAGCACATAACAAATGTTTTAATAGACTAGTAATTGTATGTGGAAAATGTGATGAAATTTCGCATGTACATTTTATAACATGAAATTTCCCATGAAAAGCGTTTTTCCTATTTATACTCTCTCGTAGTCAAAAGGCCTGACACAGTCAGGTGGTTAGGACACTCGACTTGCAATCTGTGGGTCGCTGGTTCTTTGACCCTAAATACCTATCACAAAACAAGCAAACAAAGGATACATTTGCTCGCGTTTGTATATAATTTAGTTTATATACACACACACTGGAGCGATAAATTCAAGGAAATTTATCTCATTTAGTTTCACCAGAAGCATTATATTCGCTTTATATAGTTATTACTTGATTATGAGTTTGGTTTGAATTTCGCACTAAAGCTACAAGAGGGCTACCTGCGCTAGCCGTCCCTAATTTAGCAGTGAAAGACTAGAGGGAAGGCAGATATTCATCACCACCAACTCCTAGGGTACTATTTTACCAACGAATAGTAGGATTGACCGTCACATTATAACGCTGTCACGGCTGAGCATGCTTGCGAGTAGAGCACCCTAACCACCTGGCCATGCCAGGTCACTTCACGTAGGAAATATTTAAATGGCTGCCAAACATGAATCGCTCTTCCGATTGCTTATATTATCCATTCAATCTCGACTCTTTGACAGTTACACTTGTCACTCTAACAAACTTCAACAGAAATAGATTTGTGTCCATTTAATTAACTGCATATTATTTTCACCAAATGTGTGTGGAACAGTACATGGTAAAGTACATGTGACCCAGAAATATTTTTACTGAAGCAAGCTACAAAAGTACACAGGGCTAAGTTCCCTGACATGTGCAAGTAGAATGAAAGGTCGCCCTACAGTGGAAGAAAATTATCTTTTAAAATAAAATCCATCACTTAGAATTTGTTGTTGTTGTTGTTAAAGTAATATATTTCTACAACTTAAATAAAGCTATGTAAATAAATATTTGTAGTTTGTATATTAGTTGCCTCATTGAGCTTTGTAAGTCGAGTGCAGTGAACACAAGATTTTGTCAGTCATTTTTGTTTGTTTGTTATGGATTTCGCGCAAAGCTACACGAGGGCTATCTGCGCTAGCCGTCCCTAATTTAGCAG